TTTACACAAATTCTTCCCGCGCACTTCAAATTTGATTTCGTCAGCTGTACATCTTTTCAAGTTTACATTTTTGCTTATTAATACAACGTAGAATGTGAAAACGAGGATAAATTATAGTATTACAGTCGAAATCATATTCACTATCCCATTACTGAAACCTCTGGGGTGGTTCTAAGAAAATCAAAACAAGATTTTCTTAACACGCTGGGATTAATTTAAATAATTTATAATGAATACTTATCCATGCCTGTACAATTGGTGTGTCCTACATGGATATAGATTGGTGGAATTCGAAGCTGAAAGAAGAGGACAATGATGGAGGGTTTAAAGAAGTTCATCAACTCAATTGGACCTCAGCCATCAACGATCAATTTGTTTGCTTGTGCCTAGTAAAACACATGGCGGTCAGTATAATTTTGAAAGGTTAGGAGCTTGGCAGCTTCATTGTGGTGTGGTTATCTTCTTGTAAATTCTCTGCGACTGAAACTAAATAAATACTTTGCTCAGCGGTCGTAGGTAATATGTTCTCCTTTTGCTAGTTGGGGCGGTATTAAGAATAGTCTGGCCACCAGGTTAGGTGGGCCAACCTAGGTTGTCAGCAGGTAGTGTATCTAGCGCTCAGATCTCGTATGATTTCTATACACACATCAGTCTTTGGTGTTACATCTGTAGCTGGAAATGGGTTCAAAATCATTCGAGAGCCCTATCTAACTGGTTTCCTAGACCATATCTCCTGAAGTGTGACTTAATCCGTGAACGTCCCCAGATAGGATAAATGTATTAGCCGATGGGTTGAAGCTGAAAGCCGCAATGAGGCCTTTTCGTGCAGGGTACAGCGAACGCTTTCCCAGGTATTCCAGATATGTAGAATATTTGATATAACACTTCTGGAACAGCCAAGCGTGAAATGTGATATAATTACAGGATTCCTTTCGGCGCATATCACGAAATCAACCATGTGATGAGATTCAAGTCGTAATTTACCGCCTCTGTCGTACCTAAACAAGTGCGCAAGTTTGATTTGAAAAACTTATATTCACACCTCATACTGAGACCAAGTGATGGTGTTGTTTCACCAGAGTAAGCACACAAAGTAAATCCCCTGAAATAAGGTACGGTGCTTGTTAATTGCTACAAAATCTATCTTGCCCCTAAGACAGCTACCTGTGAGATGGGTGAATAAAAGGAAGCCAAGCAATCAGAAGCTAATGAAAAGTTAATAACTTTACTGGTGAGTATGCACAGTAAAACTGAATACACCCAGTGCTCTAGGTTAGGAGAAGAGTGAACAGGGTGTTTAACAATAACCTCGAAAGGCCCTATTTAAAATCTGGCCGAAGAAAACCAACAGCCAGTCGCAAAGCATGCTATCTAATGGCTCGAAACGCAAGTTGGGCGGACACGGGAGACGAAAATGTGAATCAGCAGTCGGTGTTCTCGGCCTTCATTATAATCGGTTCTAATAATATTGAAAGTTGGATGTGGTGGGACACTTAATTTAAGCCTCCTATGATAATTAACCCTTTCTTTAATAGAAGGATACGTTTCAGGTTTCGTTGAGGTCGCAGCCCTTCCAGGTTGAATCGGAAGGGTTAAATGTTGTGCTAACCAAGTACACTACTAAGGATCATGAAGGAGTGAAAAGTTTAAGACATATGGAGCAACTCGGCGTTGAGATTGCAATAATTTCGCCGTGAGATTAAGGGAGAAAATTTATCAGAGGATGAATTGGTGACTTTATGAAAAAGAATGTTATTGGGAAGCTGGCAAACTACTTAGATTACCAGTTCATTAAACTTCAACACTGAGGAGAAGAGAGAAATCATCCACGTATTGCAAAAGGCAAAAAAATGTGTTAGAACACATGACTTGGCCACCGCAACAACATTGTAGTATAATCTGATGGATAACCACGTATGATAAAGCTAAGCGTAATGCAGGCAGAATTAAGGTGAGGTAATATTTGTAGGAGATGACAAGGGGTTATGCACGTTTAAGAAATAGACCTCTAAACGCGGACTTCCATTGGGAAAGCTGCCACTGAAAGCTGACGTTTACGTAGCCTAGAAATCATAAAGAAGCTATGAAAAGGATGTAAAAGGATGTGTTGAGGCATTTAAATTTGGCGCACACTTGTGCAGTGGGATGTCAGTGTGAACTAGGAGGAGCTTATACATCTGGTCAACTGGTTACGGTGGATGAAGTCGTATGTACGTTACTTGACTCAAAGTAAATGAATATTACTGAGTTTTAGATATATGTGGGGAACATTTGGGCGTGTGTGTTCAGATTCAGGTCTTTGATTAAGAATAGAGACCTTTGGATCCATGTCAGTTACTCTCTGTTAGATACTTGCTTTTCTGGTTACATACTGAGAGAGCTGACTAAGGATACAAACACAACCTCCTCTTACAGTCGATGTCAATTTCTAATGGCTCGATGGGAGATCCATCACTACACGATGATACAGTATGTCTTTACATTTCGACCCTCCTATTTTATTCTCTAAGATATCAGGACTTTGAGGAGTAAAGGAAGGCAAATCATGTCTGCTGTTGTTTCCTAAAATTACAAACATAGTGATCAGACTTTCGCTGTGCATATCACGACGTGGAGAGAACATTAGGCCGTTCCAATCTTTTATGGTATGGAAAACCAATTATACCAAGAATTGAATGTGTTACCATCTCTCGGCTTTTCCTATTATGTATAAGTTACTTTAAACGTAAAAGCTGCCTAGGCCCTGTTTTCTAGCGTGAATTTTAACTGAAGCTTAATAGATTGATGAATATATTAAATGGTCCTAGTATACGGGCTAGAAAAACTGCTACAATCTAGAAAGACTATGTCCACGAATTTCCGTTGTCTTCAGACTGTTTGGAAGTTTGAAGACAAGAAAGGTTTTGTGCGCTGGACACCATTAGATTGTCATTCAACTCATCCAGGACGTACTTTTTATTTATTTCTGAGATCATGACTGTGGTGCAAATCAGGGATGATTAGCTTGAAGTTTTGATGAAAAATCGTCAGGCCCTCATTCCTTAGGCTCTCGCAGTCGGCCAGCGTCACCACTTGTGTGAACGGTAGCCTGTAGACAGCGATCAATAAACTTGCTTTGTACACTACCTGCTCTCTGGAAGGTCCTGGATAGGGCTTGTTGGCTTTTCCGTATCTTGAATGCTTGGGAATTCATGTTGAATAGGCTAATATCCACGAAACGCCTACTATTTTGATGACAGTATGACCAGAGTCAACGGTGCGCGCGGTAACTAATCTTCTGTTACTTTTTCTGCATTAGAATTCTTCATGAACAACTGAAATGCCTCCACGTCAGTAATCAGGTTAGGAATTTTATGATGCATCTTTTTCTTAAATCTCATGTAAAAGAATAATCACTCTTCAGATGATCCATTACACATCGCTCTAAGTGCCTCTCTAGTTCGATTCGTAATTATTGAAATGGTGAGACAGGTTTATTTATAGGAGCGGTTTACGGCCTTGTGATCAGCAGTGTAGATAAAGAAAGAGAAGCATGTAATTTGTACCGATTGTAATTATTTTCCATTCGCTATCTCCAAATAAAAGCTAGCTGCGACATCTGTCTTTAGTTTAACAATAACTGTTTCTTTGTTTCTGTAGAAATAGGAGCGAACTTAGTGATGACTGTATCGTCATCCTTCCTGGCCACATTATTGCTCAACATAACTTGGTGACCACCTGTATTCTTTGAACACCATCCTCCATGATGCAAGGTTTGAAGCCTATAAGGATCATCTACACTGTGAAAAAGTTGGCACCACTAGTGTGCAGCTGGCACATGAAAATGTCTGTATGTCATAAGAGCTAGATCAGAGCGCGCCACCTGTGGAATTTAGTGACGCAAACCTAAGGACAGTGGCACATTGGTCCTCTGTGATAGTTTCCCATGGAAGGAGTTGTTCCTTTGATTGGACGCTAACTAGTGTCATCTGTCTAGTCCTTTGTTTATTGCAGACTGAATTCTGTCAGCCAAGTTTGCAATATGGCCATCATACTAGTTGGCTCACCATCATGGTGCACACTGATTTGATGCCATTAGATAATTGTAGGCAATCAGCAGGAAGTCTTGGATCTATGCTTCGTGATTGCTGGCACTCGTCAGCAAGGCGTATCCGCAACATTGAGGAAACTCATTTCCCTTCTGCGATTCGAACCCGCGTCACACAGCGCTGCAGTCAGAGACGTTACCACTGAGCTATTCGGGCTCTCGATTGACCTCCTGTAGGATTATATCAGATCCTTTCGAGTAGGAACTAACTAGTGTCATTTTTCTAGTCCTTTGTATACCGCGGACTGAATTCTATAAGTCAATGGAGAGTTCGAATAGCTCAGTGGTTACGTCTCTGACCGAAGCGCTGGGTGAAGCGGGTTCGAATATCAGAAGAGACATGAATTTCCCCAAGGTTGCAGATACGCCTTGCTGACGAGTGTCAGCAATCACGAAGCCTGGATACAAAGCTTCCTGCTTATTGCCTCCATCTAATAACAACAAAGCATTTGTCTCTCAGATGCATTAATGAATTGAAAGTGGGGAAAACCACGAAAGAAACTAAATTAAGACTGTGAATCATTAAAACAGAATAACTGATATCCCGAAGAGACAGTTTAATATGCGAGTAACCTGGAAAATCGAAATTTGGACAAATAGGATGGAAACTAATTTTTTTCTTCATGGTGTGGTTGCACCTGAATTAAGCCATTGCATTTAAAATCCTACGCTGTTTTCACAGTTCTTTGATAAAGTCAACTAATGATCTTATTTTCATGCTGGTTCAGTCTGAAGGAAGTAATAAGCAGCTTGCAGTGCTTATTGTCAAGACATTTCATATTGATAATCTGGGTTGTTTATATTATTAAGAGGTGAAGGCTATCTGTGTGACCTTTTAGAGCGCTTGAGATGGTTAGGTGAAATGCCGTCTTTAACGTTTGTTTCTATTTTATCATGTCAACTCTTTTCACAGCGTTCATTGTTGCACATGGAATGTTGGAGATGAAAAACCGGGAAATGAGGACTTGTCTTCTCTCCTTGGTGTAACTGCGAAACCATTTCCAGATGTTATAAGCGTGGCGTAGGTTTTTTGTATGTGTCAAAATTTATATCTTAGACTTCAAGAGGTTTCGGGAGAAGATTTTTGGCGGCAGAAGTTGATGGAACATCTTTATCCCCGTGGCTATGTCTTGGTAATAAATATTTCGTAGTAGTTGTATTATGAATTTATTTTTAATAGATCAAATCTAGGAACTGCTGGGCTATTTGGATATTTGCTTTTCTTAAACGAAACCTTCTGCCTGCAGTCACTAATATCGAGTCTGAAGTCACTGCGTCAGGATATGCTGGTGTTATGGTTGGTTAATTGTTGTGAAACCATCATACTTTTTTAGGGGAACAAAGGAGGAGTTAGTGCAAGATTTGAACTCTGTGGGATAAACATGATATTCCTTTCTTGTCACTTTACTGCTCATATGGAAAATAAGCGTGACCGTTTAAATGTAAGATTTTTAAAGAATGCTTTAATATCCTTCAGGATTATTTTGATATAATTGACCACCAAAGTTTCAGAGATGAAGATGTGAATGTCATTCTAGACCATGAGTAATTTCACCTTTATCATTAATAAATGTTTAAAAGTTATGTATTTTGGATGGGTGATTTGAACTTCCGTATTGATCACTTCAAAAAAGATGAAGTGGAGCAGATGATAAGAGAGAATCGACTTGATGAACTTTTGCGGCATGATCAAGTACGATAATACCATTTTAATCTTGATTTTAGCTTTTAAATATGAAAAATGACAAACTGCTTTTCCATGATTTCAATGAAGGCACTATATCTTTCCCTCCAACTTTCAAGTTTGACAAGGGTACAGATATATATGACAGTAGGTAATCACTCTCAAATTTGCTTAGTTTATGCATGAACATAGGTTTTCAACTTTTTATTAGTAGTTTTGACATTAATGTTTTGATTACAAAGAAATATCGTCTCTAGGCTTTCTGGTTACTTAACTATTTTCATAGTGAAGTTATAGTGTCATCTAATGATTCCTGTTATCCTGTACAAATGGTAGAGATGCTTTCATATTTGACTAGCTAAGGTAACAGATGGCATAGAGATTCTTATTATTGTGTTTCACTAGCGTTGGGATGTTCTAGAGTATGTCAAGCAAATTGCTATTTGTAACTTCAGTCTTCACAAAGCAATAGCGTCAGTATGTAATACTAACTAGGGTTAGCAGTAATTTTAATAATTGATGGTTTAAAATAAATTACCAGTTGTACATTTTAAGGGGAAGTGACGAGTATTTTTTATGTAAAGTAATTCGCATACTACTAGAATCACAAGTTCCACTTAGGGTTTAAAAAACAGTTGACCTTCGTTTAAGTCCGTCTGTAGCAGATATTGTCCGCCTTAAGTTGCCTCGTCGGTCTTTTCTAAGCCTTTAGTTTGCCGGCATTAACATGTGAAATTTTCTATTTTTACATAATGTAGTTATGTTATCTGGATAGTCAATTTGTTGAACTTATCTAAGGTAAAGTAGCGATATATTTCGGTAAATACCTAAAATGCTAGTGAATGGTATGAATATATTCCTTTTCAGTTTTTGACTTTAGAAATAATAGTGTTTTGTGTTATTTCAAAACAGTGCTTATGATACAAGGTGGAATTCTTAGCATTTGTTACGGTATCTCACCTAATTTTTTCAACAGGAACGTTACACGGTAGAGGTAAACAGAGTTGATAAAAACAACTTTTTGGTGTTAACAGTGACAATTAAGTCAAAAGTGTACAAAAAGTGTAGTGGTAATAATAATAGTGCCACCATAAATTACAAATAGGAGAAAATCGAAGAGCCATTCACTTTGTTAATTACGTATTAAGTTGTAATTTTCACTCTTAACACTATCTCTATCACACTTATGAAAGTGTTTGCCATCGAGACACTTTGTAAAGTTGAGACAATGTAATATTTTAGTCATCACTATCTGCTTTTAGGCTAATATTTCAGAGCTAAACAAGTAACCGACTCCAATTTCACTACTTTTCATTTTTATTGCATTTTCTCTAACTTCTAATGTAAGTGTACTCAGAAGCTCATGCATGCAGTAATCCATCTAATACTTATTCTTTCCACGTCGTTAGATTTAATTAAGTAGCTTAGTGAAAATCAATGTTGTTGGGTTGTTAACTCATCGTGGTTATGTTAATTTAAGCGTATTTTACTCTTATATACTTTAAAAGTAAAGTAATTCGAACTAATACATAATCGTAACAAATCTCAGACTTGATGACAAATAATAGAAAGTTATATCGGAGTTTTGAAGACTACGAATCATTCTAATTTAGTTATACGTTTTCGTCAAGTTGGAAAATGTTAGTCTCGTAGATCAGCATTCTTTTTTTCCCAGTTATGTTTACTTCCTCGTAAACCTTAGAAGATTTAGCGTTGTAATATCTATCTTGGTAGCTCCTCATAAATCATTTTCAAGTTTACAACAAACGTGATTTTTATCACTTGACAATGTGGAAACCTGACATGTATTGTTTTGTTATGTTAATATACTCTGACTTTGATTTGCTTTTGAATTGTAGCAAGAAGCAACGGGTTCCTGCGTGGACAGATCGCATATTATATATGGTCCATCGAGATTTCGCTCTGGATCATCACCTTAATCTTCCGCAAACTGGTCGACAGCGATCGGTTAGTCCATCTCGTCGGTTACCTGTTCGGGGACCACCATCACAAGTGGAAGAAAAATTCCCGTCGAATGAGTCTATTAAGGGTAGACAACATCCTGAAGCTGTTCTGCTCAAATATACTAGTTTAAGTGAATATAAGTTATCAGATCATCGACCAGTTATTGCAGTATTTCGATTATCTGTACCTCCTAGATGGTTCAGTTTACCTGTTAGATTTGAGGAACCTAATGGTAAAGGTGAGTATTTTATTTTGTCGAATTCCTGTGTTTTTATTTATTATTTTTTGGTAGTCTAAGTCTATTGAATATGTTCACAAATGTTGAACTTTAGTGTGACAGAGTTCATAGTAACCATAAAGAATGGGAATTCTGAGTTTTTGGCTGAGTAATTTCCCTTGTTTTTTTTGACAATGAAGCCACAGTGCATTAGTTAGATAAATTGTATATGTTAACGTTTGTTTCTTAATAAGTCGTTTTACCTTAGACTTACAATCTTAGCATTAGAGTATTTCGTAGTGAATGACTTAAATAAACTGTGTGATTTGCTGTTGGTGTAAACGTAGTTAATTAGTCTTTACTCGTGTGTGTTCTAATCGAATGGGATGTGACATGTTTGAATCTAGTCACAACTAATCAATATGTCGAATGAATAGAAATACTAAGAGTTACAAGTGGGAGTTATTTATGAATATTCTAGCAAAGGATTGTTCCAATGGAAATGTATAAGTGCAAGGAAGTCATAAAAATGGTTATTACTCATAATTTTCTGTGTTAAACACCGAGCTTCTTAGGTGAACTAGTTTCAGAAGACAAAATGTATGACTAATAGAGAAGATTTGTAGCTCAGGTGGATGATTTGTCCAGAAGGACGACGAAAGCTTCGCAACTAAACCAACCAGCTCAGAGAACACTATTAATTGCAAAAAATGTATGACTGTCGGGTTTATTAATAAATTAAAACAATAGTTTGTTTATGTACACAGCACGTAGAGTACTGGTTATGTTTCAAGTATATTTCTCATATTCTCTTAACTGAATTGAAGGCTATTTAGAAATTCACAGAACTTAAGGTTTTGGACAGTGATATTTCTAATCTCCTTGTCAAACATCACGTTCAGTTCAGTGTGTTAACTGTAAAAAAAACCCAGTATGCATGAGATTCATTCACTGGATTTAGTTGGTTATGATTGTACAACATTTTATCCTAAGTATTCTATTTTACTGTAATTGTAGGAATAATATTGATCGCATATGCGTTTATATCTACAAAGGCAGTTGTCTTTTTCTTCAGTATAATTTATTTTTTAACTTCCAACTTAATAAAGACCTATTCAACCTTTTTATTCATCAAATCTCCTAGAATATTCATGTTATGCCAATTTGGATATATCCTACCGAGTTCTTGATCCTCCTGGGCTATTAAGACTTTCAGAATCAAATTTACTACTTTCACCGAGAGAGTCCAGTCCAGTATGTGACTTTACCAAGTTGTTGTTACTCAACACACCATTGAAGTCTATAAATCAACAAGGGAATTCAGAAAAGCCAAAAGATGATATAGGTCCATTGGCTCCTCCAACTCTACAAACTACATCATTCGATTGGATAGGCTTGTATCCAGCAGAATTTGCAGATTTAGAAAGAGATTATATTACTTATGTGTATGCATCAAGTAGTGTATCGCAAACAAAACATAGAAAAAACTCGTTGTCGTCGGCACTGTTACAAGCTCCAAATGCAACTAACTCTCAAGAATGCTTTTATAAGGCTAAAATTGAATCAAATCGATTGAAAGATTTAGCTGGTCAGTCATTTTGTCTTGTGTATATGAGTCGTAACAAGCATTGTCCGCAGGGGTATAGTGCACCTTTCAAGGTAAGTAATTTTTTCCTACCTGTTAGTATTTATATGAGGTCTATGAAGCTTTTCCTTTATACTGAGGTTGTTTTTAATCATCAGATTTGTTTTTAGAGGGATTTTAATTTTGAAAATTTTTGTGATTACCTTTTCGATCATATAAACGTACACAGTAGCACCACTTATCATCATTTTAGTGGTAGGTATTTCTATAAGACTGACCTAAGTTCTATTTTCACTCATACTTGTTGGTGAAATTATAAGCAATCCGGAATACTTTTTTATTCTGTCTGTGTTTTTAAAGAGTTTTTTCCAAACGCTTGTTTACAGGGATTTGATTAGTTACAGATCCGGTCACAAGCTGACATCAGTTAGGGATTCTTCAAAAGTAAGCCTGTGACATTGGCTGGCGGTTGTGCTATGCATATCGTGAATTTGCAGAAGTTGGAATTCATGGGTCATTGGTTTGGCTCCCAGTGGCTGAATACTCCTACGAACTTGCATTGTTACCGAAAGGTCCTGGGTTCGAACTCCGATCTGTGCGTACTGCTGTAGAGTTCAAAACGAAGACGAAACAGCCGTGCGGTACTCCCTGGTTTTTCAGTGATTTTCTCACTGATAACAGCTTATGATTAAATCTTTGATTAGTTTTAGTTGTTGAGGAGTAATGAAAGCTTTTGAAAGGTATTGTTTAGACCTATTCTTACTTTTTTGTATATATGTTTTGTTGGATTGCTTTATTTTCTAAGCAGTCGAAAGTCTTCATTGGCCTCTTGATGCTGATGGTTACAAGTAATACATTCATTTTGGCATAGCTGAGTGCTGAGTGATTTATTCGAATGGGCTAAAGTGTAGTGGACTCAGAGTAGTTTTAATTTAATTCACTGCCTTTGAAAAGGATTTATTCCACTTGTGGTGTATACTGGTTTGTGTGTTGTTGACTACGGATTATTAATCATAGACATTTAGAATTATTTGTGGTTCCCTTTCATCTATTATATTCAGAACAATGCATAATATCATCAGTCCCCATTAAATAATTGTAACTCATGGCGTTTAGTGTATTATACTCTATTGGATTGCTAATTTACGTGTTGGTTTTCTGGATTTCCAGTTAAACTACATTGATATTATCAGAAAATTATTCTCTCATCTCTTCGTCATATAATCTCTTCCATGTCACCGTCGGACCAATACGCAACTCATCATTCCCCATTTGGCTTCCAATTGAGCGATAACCTGGCGCCTGATGTCATTCTACGGTCTCCATTTGTTTTTCAGCATATTTGTGGTCATTGATTGATTCATTCCCAGAGTTTCTTGTCGCTAATTCTTTCTGACCAGTCATTTGATCTTCAGTATAGGGCAAGCGAAGGCGACTGTCTGTAAAAATCTGCAGTAGCCTGTTCGAAATGCTTTTCACGACATGCAGTGCAAGTTTCCGAGACATAGAGAACCACTGACTGACTTAACCATTAATGTTAAGAATCCGAATCTCGTTGTTTATACTGAGTGCAGAAGATTCCCACATTGATTTCAAAGTGATGAAGGTCTTGTCTATGGAGGATCATTGGGTGGGGGTAACTGCTACCTTGCCGTGGTGGTCGGGCTTGAATGCCGCAGTGACCCAACAAGCTAAACTGACTGGAACTCATGTCCCTGCAGGTCCTACCATGTCAGGAAGGTTGTATGGATAGCGGTTAGACTAAAAGCAGTTACCATAGGGTACATGGGCTCCAGAATTCAATCGGATCAAATGGCGTATGAACCCATATGGGTCACCGGCAACCATGGGAACGCAGCTCCTGACGCTGCTCCGCTGCCTTGCGGATTAGACTCCAAGTCAAAGGCTCGGTGAGTGGTCCCTTAGAAAAACCACCTGCTTCGGTCTGGGCGCCCGGGCAGTATCTCAGCCCTCATACAATATTGTGTGGCGCATCTTTCTTGGTGCCATATTGTACCAAGATTTTCTGCGTTTAAATAATAATAAATAATAATTGGGTGGGGGTGGGTGGGTGAATTTATAAGTATATACAGTTAATTGTCCGCATACGTTTCAGTTTACTAGTGTTAAAATATTTAATAGTTACCCGTATCTCACTCACTGGACAACATTTCCACTTACTTATGACTATTAAACACTTGACTTCTACTGTCAGTGACTCCTCAGTTCGTAGCCCACTTTGTCTACAACTGGATAGCATCATCTGTTGTCATACAACAGATCTGCTACATAGTCCAGTAAATGAGAAATCTGTCTTGGACAAGTAACTTCTAAACATATAAACTAAATTATTCATTTGTTAAAATATGAGAACTTGTAAGTAAGTTACAGTCTATCTGCTTTACACAATCACTTGTTAAAGATTCTCGTAGTAAAATTTAGAAGAACACATGTAAGCGAACAATATTGTGTTTGTTTCTTCAATTAGGTCGCATAACTTTACAAACGAATATTATATATAAACCAATAATCATGGTGATTTGTCAACAGAATGATAGGAGTGGGTATATAAATTATACAGTGGGACATAAAAATTGTAACCAGTAAGAATACAATGATAATAATAATGATCCTATTAATAACAAAGATGAAAAAAAGGTATATTTAATGACGATACGATTAAACAAACAGATGTTCAGATAAACGTATTAGATAAAGGCTAAGAAAAACAAGCAGTCGGATTATGTAATGCTAGATTAAAAGGGAAGTAAATAAATTGTCTTAATGAAGACGCTATATGCCTAAGGAGGTTGTTGATAAAGAAAGGATTGAAAATACATAAGGAGTTGTGGTATAGCCAGATGGTTAGATTTTAAGCGGCCATAGAAGGGATAATGGCTTTGCCGACTACTTCTTCTGAATTGCCTAATTTAGACTTAATAGTTCCATTGCCAAACGCCTCAGTTTTACGCCGTCGACGAATACAAAGATCATTGGAAAAAAAGTCACCTTGGATGCTTCTGTTCTATCCACTTATATTAATTTTAGTCGTATTGCTGTTCACTTAACTGTAGGCACTGTGGTAGCATCACTTTGAGTTTAAATATATTCAAAATTCATCACATATACTCTCTTTTTCTATTATTTTATACTCAGTAGCAAAGCAAACATGGAAATGTTACATAGAAAAGTGTAGTTTAAAGTAGAAATCTACGTAAAAATTAAAAACTCATAATCTAAATATGAATCTTAAGCTCATTAGCAGGCTACTGGACGGATGTTCCGAAGTTGTCATAAGAAGTTGTGGCCAGTGGGGGTCTCTACTATGTCAAGGTAAAATGGAGGTCCGTCAAGGACACGCCGGTTGGTTGTGTAGCACTGTGTCATAAATTGACAAAGTTAGAATTTTCAAGTATTGGTTTTGTAGGGATTTTTGTTTGACTGGATGGAGGATTTCACCATGAGCTGACATCAGCTAGAGAACCACTGAAAAACCTGGGAGTACTGGACAGCTGTTCCACCCTCGTTTAGGACTCTTCGGCAATACGCACTGACTGAGGTTCGAAGCAAGGACCTTCTTGTTACAAGGCGCGCTCGTAGACCACTGAGCCACTGGGACCCGATCCAATGGCCAGCACATGAATTCTAACTTCTACCAATTCACGACAAAGCGCAACCATTTCACAATGTCTTCTTCGATGAGTTACCGCCTCATCTTCAACCTGCTGTACCCTACTGGTCACGGCTTCCAACTGGAACCTCAGGTCACTGCCTGAATAGAGCCAGTCGCTAGTGAGCATCAGACTAATTTGCAAGTATTGGTCTTGTAGGGATTTTTGTTTGATTGGATGGAGGATTTAATCATGAGCTGACATCAATTAGAGAACCACTGGAAAACCTGGGAGTACTGGGTTCGACCCCTGTGGGTGGGTTCGTGCCGATGAAGAGTCCCAAACTAGGACGAAACAGCTGTATAGTACTCCCAGGTTTTCCAATGGTCCTCTAACCGATGTCAGTTCATGATGAAATCCAGAAATACTTTTGTTGTTCGATAAAAAGATCCAAATTTATTTCTTATGGAACTGTTTTAAAAAAGGTGTTGTTTACGTGAAAAATATATTCATTGATACATCATTTTAGCAGCCTTGTTTTCATTTATTTCAAGATTTGGTTGTATTCTCTGAGCTGGTTAATTTAATTGCTAAGCTTTCGTCATCCTAGACAGCATCTTCAGCGCTGTCTTCAATATAAAGTAAACTTGTTTCAACTCTCCATGAATGATTTAATTGTGGTTGTGGTTGGTTGTCAGTTTGCATCGATCATTTTTATTGACTTGGGATTTTAACCTTATTATCGTGTCATATATTTTTTGTTATTTGGTAAATTCGATCGATGGTAATGTGTTTTTTAGTCGCTGATTCATCTGAATACCAGGCTTCTAGAAATTCGGTGGTAGTATTTTTGGTGTCCCCTGTGTTTAAAATTTCTACAAATTCCCAATCAAATCAGTGTCCACAATTATCTACGTGCATCGATATAAAAGAATGCATATCGTGTCTTTTCGTTAGCTAATTTATATTCTTAGATTCCGATTCTAAGGTGACGCCCATTCTGACCAATGTGGTGTTTATCGCAGTTTATGTAGTTTATTTTGTAAATGGTATTGATCTTATCATCTTTTGATGTTTGCGTCTTTTAGTCTAAATGAAGTGATTGTGTGTTGACTTGTGTGCTATGCATGTTTCAAGTGGTCTAAGTATCTTCACTCTTATTTCAGAGATATTCTTTATATATGGTAGAATGAATTTTTTATTGTGGTCTTTGATGTTGGCTTGTTGTTAGTGTTATGACTAGAGTTTAAACACTTTTTGATGAAATTGGGAGGTGATCTATTCTTTTTGAAGATCATTAATAGATATTCCTCTTGAGCACCAAGGCGTTACAGTATGTTTGAACTCTTTTCCAATTGAAGGGAATATTCCCATATTGAGTTATAAGAAAAAGATGTAAACAGCGAAGAAAATTTTCTTTTCTACGATTCATTTTCGTAAGTTGTACGTTGGTGGCACGGTAG